GAAACTTGGCATACCTGACCTTTGATCTAAGCCGGATCTTTTGACACCAGCCGCATTTTTGGGTCAGGTCAGCTCACTGACCTATGACGTCATAAGTGAACCTCTGCACGGTCTTCAGATGTCGCAACTTCGCAACGCCCTCACTGCCAGAGGAGATGTCACAGGGAAATGAAACTTGCAGGATCTAGTATCCATTATGAGTCTCACAACTTAGATATCTCGGATTTTTCCTAAAGGTGATATGAGGTCAGGTCATTTTCGTGACCTCACCATTATAAGTCAATGGGGAAAAATGAAAACTGCTATTCTGGCGCCGGAAACGATCTCCAACTATCTCAAGCACACAGAATCGTGATTTGATGCACTCCTTGCAAGGTAAGATGCGTCACTTTTGCAATGTTGACCTTGCGTGACGTCATTTATGACGTCATCAAGGTCATATTAGTTTTTCGTCAATAACTCTTGATCAAATTGAGCTAGCGACTCGGGAAAGCCACCAATGGACTCAGGAAGACCTGCCGAATCGAATGATATGCGACATGACCTCTTTTGACCAACTTCGTGACCTGGGGGTGCTGACCTGACCTTGACCTGAGGTCAACACCCCAAGTTGACCTGACCCGAACAAAAAGTATATCATTCGACGCGCCTGAGCGAGGCGAACACGATGCTGCCAAAATCGCGGCTCTGCGGCCGTTTTTTGCGAAGTTATTTACCAAAACCTGAACCGTACCTTGGGGCACTTGACCTGACCTCAGAGGTCACCGGTTGACCTAGGACCTTAAAACCGGGTACAAATCTCTGCGTCTCGTAACGGCGCACACGCTCGTTTTTTCCGCGACGCGCTAGCTCCACCAGGAGCGAAACGGCGAGGGGGGGGGTCGTACCCCCCCCCCCGGCCAGCGCGTATGTAGAAAACCAATAGGTCCGGCGAGGGTTAAGACTTAAGTGTTACAGTTACCCAAAAGGGCAAGACTGAATGCCCTGGCCAAGTTTCTTGGCCTTTTTCTACACTCGATATTATCTTTATTGCATAGACCTAAACAGTTGGGGCATTCCACGTCAAATCGAACAAAAATCGGCTGTTTTGCACCTTACCATCAGCGATTTCATTATAAATTTGTGAGCGAGTTCCTGTGTGGCCCCGGACATTACATTGATGTTTTTTGCACATTCTGACCACAGGTCTTCTAAATATAGGGCATCAAATTTTTACAAAATGTTGCATCTTTATATTTTTGAACGACCATAACTTTGGTTGTACTTGTTTGATTTGAATGAAATAAACCTTACTGTTAAGGTAATTTCTTAAGCATTTGTTTAGAATTGCACCTACTTAAATATATGACCTTGAAATTTGCTTAACTCTGTTCTTAAGCACAAATATTGAAATAGCAAAAAACACGTCACCTTCGATTTGGCTCATTTTCATATATTTTATTGCCTACCATATTCTTAACAACCTGTGAAAAAATTAGAGTGGGCCATTCATAAGTTTTGAAGAAAATTGCACATATGCAAACGTGTGTTAGCACGCGCAGTGGAGGGGGAAGAGCGAATTTCGCCCACCCCTCCTGTTTTTCGCCAATATCTCGTAAGATTATTGCGAAATTAATTATGGCTACCTGTCAAGAATTGTATTGGACATCTCATCGTGCAAGCAATAAGAAAATCGGTTCACAACTGTTCTAGTAATAGCGGTGTAAAGTGAACATCCTGTCGCCGCAGCGACGCGGCGACTCGGCAGCCGGCGCCGACCGCACAGTGATGCAAATGGGGTTCACGAGTGGCCATAAATACCCAAAAGTCAAGTTTACCAAATTGAGTTAAAGGGACCCTCCCACCTTAACATTAGATTTGAGTTGAGATAGCCAAATTGGTGGCCATGGCCTGAAAATACCGGTTTGGGCACTCACAACATCGAAAAATGCTTTAATTCGGAGATATCGAATTTCAAACTTGCAGTTTTCGGATTCTAAGGGGCTAATGCATTGGTATGCCCCCTTAGAATTTGTGACGTCAGCGGAGATCTAACGATTTTAAATCTTTTACTAAAACGTTTGGTAGCACGCGGTGGTATATGCTGCTTTGCGCGCAACAAATGCCGCACTTTCAAATAAAGTCGCTAGGAACAGCTGAGATCCCAAAAAGTAAACAAAAGTAAAAGTCTTGAAATCTTGAAAACCGGTGAATATTTTTCGATGAAATTTGGTAGATATTCGTTTTTGCTCTTTCTGAACCGAGCGACATCACTTTCATGCCAATTCATTAACTTTTTTGAAGGTGGGAGGGTCCCTTTAATTGCGATATGGCCGAGTAGACAAATGTTTGGGGCATCTGAAATCATATGGTTTTCATGTTTTTGTCAAAACCTGCCTCGTGTATAATCGTCAGAAGTTGTGACATTTTCTAGGTCGTAAAATGACGGTCAGACACTCGCAAGTTCAAACGCCGCTGGTTTGCGTTCATTTCGTACAAATTGAAAAAATTATGCATGAGAATGATCCCCAGAGCCTTCTGCTTCTAATGCCGGGTCACAAAAAGCCGCATCTCATTCGCTTTGGCGGTAATCTGACTATTTATCATCATGTTGCAATCGCAGTTTTTTACTAAGAAAAAAAAATGCTTTCGTTTCACCTACAGCACTTAACACAGTGTCTGCCCGTTAGTCCACCATAACATAGCCTTCCCTAATCATTTCTGAGTCGCATCGTTAAAGAATTAAGGCGCTAGCACAGGGCTGACCGGCGCTACAGAGGTTTTTGTCCGGGCGGTCGGGTGCCGCAGTGGGCGAGTGGGTGCCGCCGCGCGGCGTCCGGGCGGCGCGGCGGCGCGGCCGCCCGGGCCGCCCGCTGCGCCGCGGCACCCGACTGTGCCGGACGAAAACTTCTGTAGCGCCGGTCAGCCCTGTGCTAGCGCCTTAATTCTTTCACGATGCGACTCAGAAATGATTAGGGAATGCTATGATATGGTGCACTAACGGGCACACACTGTGTGAAGTGCTGTAGGTGAATTGAAAGCATTTTTTTTTTTTGGTAAAAAACTGCTGTTGCAACATGATTACAAATAGTTAGCTCACCGTCAAACCAAAATAGATACGGCTTTTTATGACGTGGCATTAGAAGCAGCAGGTTTCGGGGATCATTTTCATGTATAATTTTTGCAGTTTGTATGACATGCACGCACGCTAGCGGCATTTGAATTTCAAGTACCTGACAGTCATTTTTACGACATCGAAAATGTCTCGACTTCTGACAATCCTACACGAGGCCGGTTTTGACAAAAACATTAAAATCATACTTTTTCAGACACCCCAAACATTTGCCTGACTGACCATATTACGATTTATTCGATTAAGTGAACTTGAATTTTGGGCCTTTTTCGTATTTATGGCCACTCGTGAACCCCATTTGCATCACTGTGGACCGCTACGCGCCGCCTGAATTGTAGACTGTGCCGGGACGGAACAGAACGGTTCCGTCTTTACATCGCACTCCCTACCGCTGATTACGTTCGATTCGCGTCAAATTTTGTAAGAAGACTAAGAAATGTACAGGCAATCTTATGGTGAAAGAATTTTGAAAATCGGTTGGTAAACAATTGAAATATGAACGTGTAAACACAAAGTTGTGATTGCTGCGTTTCCCGCATCGGCCGAGCCCGCCTCAGCCGGCGACATGTTACTCCTAGCAGGCCTCTAACTGCCATATTTATTATTGGATTAACTAGAAATTCCCCATACATACTTTAAAAAAATGTATGTTCTTTCGTATAGTGAAGATCAAAAGACGTGAAGATATCGTTGCGTGATAATGTTTTCGTTGAATTTACTTCATGATGCATTTCCACACGGCTCAAAATTCACCGCAAAATACCGTTTGCCTGAGACACTTTTACTATGGAACGTGAATGCTTGACTACGATGACTATGCATTTCCATTCTCGCAGAGTTTGGGATATCACTAATCAGCAATCATTCATTTCAGAAAGTGTACACAAGCAAGCATGTCTTGACTCTGTCTTTCAAGGTCACGCGCGGTTGCGTGATGTTGATGCATGAAAACGGCGTTTGCCGCGAAAGTTATGAATGGCCCACTCCAATTTTTTCACAGATGGTTAAGAACATTGTGACGGACATAATATGTAAAAATTACCCAAATCGAAGGTGACGTGTTTTTTGCTATTTAAATTTTTCTGTTTTAATTCAAGGTCAAATGCATTTCAAGGTCACTTCAATTTAATTTTATAATTAAAAATCAAAGTCTTATCAATTGCCTATAAGACCCTGTTAATATCATTTTGATACCAGAAAAGGAACCAGAGTTATAGCCATTTAAAAAATTGATGTGTGGCATTTTTGCTATATTCGATGACCTATATCTCAGCGATACGTTATCAAATTTCGAAAATATTATACGTAACTCAGTTTTGAACCATGCCCAGTCTGCCTACAAATTTTCAGGAAAATCGAAGGGGATGACGGATTTCGGTGTTTGATTTGACGTGGAATGCCCCAGTTACTTTGTTACCATACCCCAGGTGGCATGCAAATGAAGTTTTGAGCTAAATGAGATGTGGTCAACGAGGGAACTGTTTTGCTTCAGTCATACTTCTAAAATACCTAACTTACTTGCAAGTGCTTATACTGGTTGGCTGTTCAACTTATGGTAGCTTTTTTATCTGCTCTAGAGGGGCCGTAAAAATTGTCCCTCGAAAAACGGTAGAGAGTGGGGGGGGGGGGCTTGTAGACCCCCTCCCCTCTTAAGGAGAGAGGGCTCCCTGTTTTGGTTGGGGCTTACTTTGAAACAGATAGGGCCGACGAGGGTTAATGTGCAGGTGCATTTCGTCAATACTTTTAGCATTGATGGATATATTTTTGGCAGAACGTATTTGAGTGGTACAGTGGTATATCAATGCTAATAGTCATCAAGCTATTACTACTGCTGTCGGCTGGGTGTGATGTTAACGGCGACTGTCTTCCCCCCCCCCCTTCCCCCCAGGGGTGGTGAGTGCGCGGCCGCACCATGGCCGCCGCGCTGGAAACGCTGCGCGACTGCTGCCGCACGGTGGCCGGGGATCGCCTGCGCGACCGGCGCGAGAGTGCTGACCAGCTGCGTCAGCTCATCGCCGACAACGCGACGCTCTGCGCCGAACTGGACGACGCCGGCCGGGACCGTGACCGACTCAACTGGACCTACGTCTGGGAGCATGTCGTCATCCACTTCCAGAAGGAGATGGACAAAGCCGAGGAGGACGCCCGCCGTGGGAAGAACCTGACACAGCGCGAGCTGGTACCGCGGCAGGCGGTGTCGCTGCTGCGGGCCGTGGCACACCGCGCCAACCGCGGGCGGGCTCGTCTGGAGGCGACTCAGCTGGCCGGCACGCTGCTGGCCGCCCTGCGCCACCCGTTCCGGCGCGCAGCCGCCGGCCCAGAGCTGTGTGCGATGCTGAGCGCCGCGCTGCTGGAGCCGGCGCTGGTGCGCGCTGAACTGTCGCTGGTCGGCTGGCGTGACCTGCTCTCCGGCGTCATCTCGCTACTGGCCGAGCCGCCGCACCGGCTGCAGACACACACGCTGCGCTCGCTGCTGTCGCTGACTGCCGAGCTGGGCTGTCAGCAGACGGCGCTGCTGGCGCGGGTGCGCGGTCTACTGCCGCTGCTGGACGCTGACGGACTGCTGCGCGATGCGCCGCCGATCACACTGCGGCTGGTGAACGTGGTGCTGCGGCTGACGGCTGCCTCCGGACGGCGCGCCGTTTGCCGCGTCGGCGAGCGCCTGTTCACCTCCGTCTGCCAGCTGGCTGACGCGCGCCATCAGTGCCAGGAGCAGGTGCTGGCCTTCCTGCGGCTGCAGGTGTGCGCCCGCGCGCCGCTCTGCCTGCGAATGGCGCCCGCAGAGGAGACGTGGGCCCGCCAGCTGAGGAAGATGTACCAGGTGGTGGTGGACGAGGTGGAGTCCCGCTGCCTCCGGAGCCGGATGGTCGGCCGCGCCGCTCCGCTGACCACCCCGCTCTCTGACGACTGGGTGCGGCTCTTCGCCGACGTGGCGTATCTGCTGTTTGAAAGGGACGAGGACACGGTGCTGGATGTCACCCTGCTGCCCAGTCTGTCCACCGACGGCCGGCCGGCCAAAAGGCGGCGACTGGAAGTGGGCGTGCGGGCCGTGTGTGAGAGAATCTACGAGACGCGCGCCTCGACCGAGTGCGTGCCGTGGCTGCAGCTGCTGACGGCGCTGATTGGCGCCCACCCGGACGCGCTGAGCGCGGCGCAGCTGCCGCCCTGTCTCAGCCTGCTGGTCAGCCTGCTGGCCGCCGGCAGCCGCCTGCCTGAGGTGGTGTGTCACCAGCTGCGGCTGGCCGCGGCACTGCTCGACTGTGCGGCGGCGCAGCGCGTGCCGGACCGACAGGCGGACGACGTAACGGCCGCCTGGGCCAGGATCTGGGAGCTGGCCGTGCAGGCCTCCTCTCTGGTGCAGCGCCAGGACGCCAGTCACGCGCTGCTGCAGGCTCTGCTGCGTCGGCGCGCGGCGCGGCCGGGCCGCTCCTTCCTGGCGCTATACCTGCAGCGAGAGGCGGTGCCGGCGGCTGTGACGCCCCCGCTGGTCGTCACACTCCTGGAGTACCTGCGCCGGTTCGCTGTTCCGCAGCCGCCCGGCCCGGCCGCCGACCCCACGGAGACCCGCTGCCGACTGGCCCAGTGGCTGCTGGAAAGTGGCTGCGAGCCGCGAGCCTCGGCAGAGGCGCTCGTCCGACTCGCCCTTCGAGACAACGCGGCCGACCTCGGCAGTTTGGTGGAGTGGTGTAGCAATGAAACTGCTGCTGGCACCGATTGGTACACAGACCTGGGCGAGCTCTATGTGTGCAGTGAGCTGGAGGAGCCTCTACGTGTCGCTGATTCGCCACCGACGCCGCCGGCAATGCCGCCAACAGACGTGGGCGAGGCGAGTGTGGCGCCGCTGAAGACTAAGATTTTGTCAGAGCTGAATGCGCTTGTGACGGCTGCAGAGAGGCGAAACGACGACCCCTCGGCCGGCGATGCCGCGGTGTCTCGCTGGTGTCGTGCTGCGTGCGACACGGCGGTGCTGGCGGCCAGTACTCTGCGATTCGCCGGCGACTGTGGCCTTTTGTCGGCTGACGAGCTGCGCCACTCGCCGCTGGTGGCTAGTCTGCGTTCGCTGGTGACTACCCTGCTCCGGACGGCAGCAGGGGAGCTGTCTGCGCCTCCCACTGTCGACTTAAATGCCCACCTGACTCTGCTGTCCCTACTGACCGGACTACGCGAGCTGTTTGAAACGGCTGAGGCGCCGCCAGTCGGGTCCCCTCACCAAGCCGCCGCCGGGCGCCGCGCGCTGGGTAGTCTTCTGAGGTCTGCCACGCCGCGAGTGTTCACTCAAGAGGCGCTGCGGCTGCTCAGAGACGAGGCCTCCCGATTGTTGCCGCAGTCGAGGCGCGCCAGCCATTCAGATCCTCTTTCCGACTCGTCGGGGGAGAGTCCACTGGATTCGGAGTTTTCTGAAGCCGAGTGCAGCAGCGCACAGGAGCCGGGCCGTGACAGTGTGCTGGATATTGCACTACATGAGCTAGAGGAAGTGCGCCTTGAAGCTTGCCGCCTGCTGGTCTCTTTCGCAGATGTCGACGCCGGAGAAGACGTTATCGCCGGATCGGAGGCACCAGAAGAGCTTCTGTCTGACGTCTTCATGGCGTTGTTGGAGAATCGGTTGGATGTGCGTCACCCGGGTGATATGCGCATAGCGCTGGATCTCCTGCGTAAGCTGCCGTCGTCCTCTGCGCTGTGCACAACTCACGTGGTCTCGCTCAGCGAGCTGCTGCAGGCGGTTTGCCGCGCCTGGCCCCGCGATGTGGCTGTTAATCTAGCCGTGCTGGACACGATGGCCGGCGGGTACGTGCAGGCAGTGGCACGGCGCGGCTGTGACAAGGACCGCGCCGACGCCATGAAGTTCGTCACGGTGATGGTGAGGAAGGCGGAGACAGCGCGGTTCGGCGAGCGCTGCCTGCTGTCGCTGCTGCGGCTGCTGGCCGCGCTGGCTGAACAGGACCCGTGCGGCCGCTGGGCAGTGGTGGACGGACGCTGGGCGGCGCGGCCACTGCTCACTCACCTCAGCGCGCCTGCAGAGCCCAACGAGCGCGGCGCCGGCGCCTGGAGCACCCACCGCTCGCGGCTGCTGGCCACCCGGCTCCTGGAGTCGGTGTTTGCCGCCCGCGAGCGACAGCCCGCTGTCGAGGGCGCCGCGCCCTCCGTTCAGGAGATGTTTGAGCTCATCTATCCGTCTGTCATCGAGAGCATGGCGCAGACTGCCGAGCAGGCGGCCGAGTGGACAAGACCGGACGACGCGCCGAACCGTGCCGCCACCCTGTGCCTGGCGCTGTGTCGTGTGGCGCTGGGCAGCAGCCAGTGCCGACCACAGGCGCTGTTGGCACTCTGTCAAGCCTCCCGGCTGCGTGACGTGTCACCGGAGCTGGTACTGCGCGCGCTGCGCCACCTGGCGACCGCGCTCGGTCTGGCCAGTCCACGACGTCTACTGGAGGCTCATCTGGACTTCATCGTGTCCCAGTGGCTGGCCGAGCGACTCACTGTTCTCGAGTTCCCGCACCAGCTCCTCGAGTTCGCCTCAGCCAAGGAGTTTGTTCGTGAAGAGCTGGGCTGTGTGGTGCCCCATCTGCTAGGGCGTCACCAGGACCAGTTGGCCGCCGTCGCTCAGTTGTTGGAGCAGCAGCCAGCCGAGCTGGTGCTCTCCTGTGTCCCGCAGATCGTGGCACAGGTGGTGCCCGGTCTGGCAGGCAGTGACGGCGCGGCGCTGACCACCGCGCAGCGACTGTACAGCCGGGCGCGCCAGCTGGTCGGCGGCTCGGAGACGTTCGACCGCGCGCTGGCCGCCCAGACAGTGGAGGTGCTGGCGGCGCTGTTCCGCGCCCACGGGGCGAAACCCGAGTGTATCGTGCCGGCTCTGCAGTTCGCTGCTGACAAGATGTACGGCAGTAGTCTGGTGGTGAGCCTGCGTAGGCCGGCAGAGGACGGCCTTCAGCGTCTGCTGCTGCTCCTGGCTACAGATGTGTCCGCTGCTGCCGGCAGCGCCGACCGCTTGGCGGCCACGCGGCGCTACTGCGCACTGCTGGACCTGCTGGCCGACGACTTCGCCCATCTGGAGGAGCTGCGGCCGTTTGTGATGCTGGACGTGCCGTCGTTTGTGTCACACCAGCTGGCCGCGCTGCGTCTGCCGGCTGAGGCGGCCGCCGCCGAACGGTGGGCGACCGCGCTGGGTCGGCTGGCACGCGCCTGTGCCGAGCAGGCGCCGGACGCCCTGGCGCCGGCACTGGAGCTGCTCTGTTCCGCGCTAGTCGGTCTTCACGAGGCCTGCGCGGGCGACGAGTGTGCTCCGGCTCGTGACTCGGCCGCCGGCACACTAAGGCTTCTGCTCGGGCCGCTGTCGGACGGGTACCGCGCGGCGGCCGAGGCGCTGACCTGCCTACCGGTCGACGGGCCGCTGGGAGGTTTGACGCTGGCGCCCGCCGGCGGCGTACTGAGGACACTCTCTGTCGGCGGTGCGCTGAACGTTCACGCGCTGCGCGCGGCGCTGGAGCAGGTGGAGACGCCCGGCAGCGCGGCCGCCGCCGACTGTTCGGACGCCCTGCTGGCCCGCCTGCTGCGACTGGCGGCCGGAGAGGGCGGGGAGCTGCGCCGCGCCGCCGCCCGCCTGCTCGGCGCCGTCGGGCCGCGCCGACTGGAGGGCGCCACGCTGCGTGTGTCGCCGCCGGCGTGGCAGCGCACCGACGCTGTCGGCGAGGAGGAGCTGCGGGACGTCCACCTGCTGGAGAGACTGCACCAGCTACTGACCGACCGGGACGTGAGCGTGGTGAGCGCTGCCGGCACCGCGCTCCGGGCCGTGCTGGCCTCGCCCGCAGCCACCCGCTGGCAGGAACTGCTAGCTGTCGAGCGGCCCAGCTTCGCCAGCGAGCTCCTCCCGTTCTACATGACGCGCCAGCCACTGACGCCCGAGAGACTGCTGACTGCGAGCGAGGCACTGCGCCGACTGGACTCTGCGACTCTCTGGGTGCCCGAGCACGGCCAGTACGAACTCTGGCTGACGGACGTGACCCTGGCACTTCTGGAGGCAGGCGCTCGCTCCACCCCCTCTCTGACCGCCCTCGCACCACTCTGCTCGGTGAAGGGCGCCGAGTTTTGTCGCGATGTGCTGCCCCACGCGACCTACGCGGCTCTGCTGTCGGACACACACGTGCGGGGCGTGCTGAGCCGCTGGTTCAACCGGCTGCTGCAGGAGCACCGGAGCATGCAGCGGCGGGAGAGCAGCGCTGTGGCGTCCACACCGACGCCCAGCGCTGCGGCCGGCCGGGCGCCTCTGGCCGCTCAGCCCCTCTGTCTTCAGGCGCTGCTGGATGTGGTGATGTACCTACGCCGGCAACCGCTGCCGGCCGGCGGCCGGGGCGACTCGCCCTGGGAGCGTAACTTCTGGCTGCAGCTGCAACTGCCGGCGGCGGCGGGTGCGGCCCTCCGCTGTGGCCGCTACTGCGAGGCTCTCCTGCTGGCCGAGGTTTGCTGCTACGCACAGCACCAGGATGACGCGCCGCTGCTCGCCCGGTCTGCCGACGGTGACGAGCTGCGCTCGCTGCTCTGCGAGGCGCACGTGCAGCTGGGAGACGCGGACGGCGTGGCTGCGCTGCGCACCGGCGGAGGCGACTCGCTCACTCAGGCCGTCTATCTGGAGCAGGAAGGTGAGTGGCTGCGAGCGCTCACCGCCTACGACGTGCTGGCGACCGAGCGAACGACGGTAGCGCAGCGTGGCCTGCTGCGCTGTCTGGCCGAGCTGCAGCTGCTGGGCAGCTCACAGACGCTGCTGCGCGGCCTGACTGCCGAGCTTGGAGCGACGGACGCGGTGCCGTCCTACCTGCTGGAGGCGAGCTGCGAGGCGGCCTGGCGGCTGGCGGACTGGTCGGCGCCCTGCCCGCCGCCGACCGCCGCCGCCACTCCGGGCCTCCAACAGGCTCTCTTCTCCTGCCTGTCTGCCTTCCGGGACGGTGACGTGGCGGCTGCCGCGGAGGCTGTGGAGCGGGGCCGCACCGCGGCTCTCGCAGTCCTCGCCGGGTCGGCGACGCCCAGCACTCACGTGGCCGGCCTGTGTCTGAGCCGGCTGCGGCTACTCTGGCGCGCCGACCAGCTATGTCAGGTGGCCGGCGGCTCTCCGGCCGAACTGAGCGCACTCTGCGACCGCTGGCGACACGCGCCGGCGCCGCGGCTGCCCTTCCGACTGGAGGAGCCGCAGCTGTCGTTCTCGGCGTCTCTGCTGGCGGTGCTGGCCGAGCGGCAGCCGACGCTGCAGGACGCCCTACTGCTGCGCCAGGAGACACTGCTGCGTCTCAGCGAGGGGGCGCGCGCCGCCGGCCGGCTGGCGGCTGCCGAGCGGGCCGCCGCCGCGCTGCCGGCCGACAGCGTGCCGTCCATCCGCTGCCGCGCAGAGAACAGCTGGGCACGCAGCGACGCCGAGTCGGCGCTGTGGCTGTGCCGCGGCCTGCTGGACGAGGGGACCAGGGAGCAGCAGCCGGCCGGCCGCCGCCTCCAGCTGGCCCAGCTGAAGGTGCTGTATGCCGGCTGGCTGTCGGAGGTGCACCGTGAGGGACCGCAGGAGATCCTGGAGCAGCACCTGGAGCCGGCCATCGTCCAACTGGAGCAGATGACAGACGGTGAGTAACGGCTGCTGTGTGCCGTTCACATTACTGCCAGCTGATCGCATATAGCTGAGACATCACGCTCTATCGCTACTTTCGCTTACTCTTATGTCCGTCTTTTGCAAACTTAGCGATTTATTTCACTTTTTACTGCAATATACATTTTGCTGCATGTCCTATGCTAACAATTGACTTGATGTGTTGAATGGATTAGATTCCCGCACCAAAACTGAGCTAGTCGCCTCTGTTGTGTGATGCTGTGAGCTGACAGCGTGCTCTGCTCGGACAGGCCCGGACTCGGAGCGTGCCCTGCTCGAGGCCCACTACCTGGCCGGCCAGTACGCCGACGCACAATTCCAGCGAGTCGACGAATGGGTCACTTCTGCCGACTTCGCCGCTAAGCGCGCCGAGGCGATCCGCATGCGACAGGAGGCCGACCAGTTCCGAAAGCGGGCGGCCGCCGCCAAAACCGACACGGACACCAAGGACTTCCACCGGCAGCACTTTAACCTGACGCGCTCGGCGGAGCTGGACGAGGCGGAGCTGCGCCAAGCGGAGGACGACCGGACCGCCTTCCAGCGCCGCGCAGTGGCCAGCTATCTGCGCTGCCTGCAGCTGGGCCGTCACCGCGACCTGCTCGTGTACCGGCTGGTGGCGCTGTGGCTGGCGGACACGTCCGGCCAGGTGTGCGAGCTGCTGCGGCCGGCCGCGCCGCGGCTGCCCGCCTTCAAGCTGGTGCCGCTGCTGTATCAGCTGGCGGCGCGCCTGGGCCGGCCCGGCTGGCTGCCGGAGTCCGCCCAACTGCTGGAGGAGCTGCTGGAACGCTGCGCCGCCGAGCACCCCCACCACACGCTCCCCGTGCTGCTGGCGCTCAAGAACGCGCACGCGGACGCGGCCGGTGGCGCTGCCCCAGCGACTGATGCAGGCGGGGAGGCGCGGACGGCGGCCGCTACCCGGCTGGTGAAGCGGCTGGCCAATAAACCAGCGCTGGCCGAGCCTGTGCGGCAGCTGGAGGCGGCCAGCGCGGCGCTGGTCGAGTTGGCCTACCATACCCACGTCGGCACGGCCAGCTCTGGCCGCGTGCCGTCCGGGTGTCGGCTGCTGAAGCTGGGTGAGCTGTCGGCCGTGGCCGTGCAGACGGTCCCCCTGCCGGTGCGCGCCGACGCAGACTACACGGCCGTGCCCACCGTCATCAAATGGGACAACAAGTATGACATGGTCGGTGGCGTCAACGCTCCCAAGAAGCTGCGCTGCCTGGGAAGTGACGGCCGGTGGCGGCCGCAGCTGCTCAAGGGTCGTGACGACCTACGGCAGGATGCCGTGATGCAGCAGGTGTTCTCTGTGCTGAACTTGCTTCTTGCGGAGAGCGCCGCGCCAGACCAACCGCCGCTCACCATTCGCACCTACAAGGTGGTGCCACTGTCGCAGCGCTCGGGCCTCATCGAGTGGTGCGTGGACACTCAGCCGCTGGCGGACTACTTGGCCGACAAGCGCGGCGGCGCCCACGTGCGCTACCGACCCGACGACATGACGCCCGCCGAGGCCCGACGCGCCATGCAGACTGTCGCCAAGAAGTCGGCAGACCAGAAACGGCGCGCGTTTGCCGAGGTGTGCCGTCGTCTGAAGCCGGTGATGCGGCACTTCTTCTTTGAGCGGTTCCCAGAACCGTGCGCTTGGTACGAGCGACGTGTCGCCTATACCAACAGTGTGGCCGCCTCCTCGATCTCCGGCTACGTCCTCGGCCTGGGGGATCGCCACGTGAGCAACATTCTCATCGACAAGGCTTCGGCAGAGGTGGTCCACATCGACCTCGGCGTGGCGTTCGAGACGGGTCGCCTCCTGCCGACCCCCGAGACGGTGCCGTTCCGTCTGACGCGCGATATCGTCGACGGTATGGGCGTGGCCGGCGTGGAGGGTCGCTTCCGACGCTCCTGCGAGCGCACGCTCTCCGTGCTTCGCGAAAGCGTCCAGGTGGTGCTGACGATCGTGCGCGTGCTGCTCGATGACCCGCTATACGCGTGGACGCTGACGCCGGACAAGGTGAACCGTCTGCAGCAGCGGGACGCCCACAGGTCAGCCGTGGCCGCTGGGGACAACCGGCAGGCGGAGCGGGCGCTGGCCCGGCTCGCCGAGAAGCTGCGGGGACAGGAGGCGGGTCAGGTGATGACCTGTGCCGCTCAGGTGAGCCACCTGATACAGCAGGCGCGCGACCCGGAGAACTTGTGCCGACTGTTCAACGGCTGGCAGGCGTATCTGTGAGGATGTGAGAGCGAGCCGGGCCGAAACAGCCAGGGCTGTTTCAGCTGCTGCAATACGGATGTGTTGCTTTTTGTAGCGAGCCAGCCGAAACGACGAAGGCTCTTTCAGGTGCTGTGATACAGATCGGTTACTTTTGTACTTGTGCAATGTAGCGGCATTCCAGAATAGACGTCATTGGCTATATTTGTGCTGTACCCCTATCTCTTTTATATGCGTCCACCATGAGGAGGGGGCACCAGGGAAGTGGAGAAGTCTGGGGGATGTCTGCCGTATTGTTTCCGTGTAAACTACGAATCTCAATACCTGTCATTTCCAACACCATATTGGTCGATGCAAACTGAGGTGCGATAACTATCACGGATCAATTTGGGTATGACAAGGTCGTTTAACTCGGTAAAGTAAGTCACCTTTAGATGGCAGCATCGTAGGGCGAAGTTTAAAGCTCAGTTGGACATCATATCTATGGGGTCACATATTCGAAGCAATTCAGGGTATCAGTGAAAACATTGTCAAGGGCTGATGTGAAATGGTATTGACAATGATGCGCTGTCCGTTGCGGTCTCAGGCCGTCGTTATATCCACCGATAATATGCAATGAAGGGTGAGCTCATCGCACGAGTCCGAACAAAGCTTTAGTTAGGGTTGATGCGGCCTTGGGTTGAAGTGTTGGAAAGTTTCTACTTTCTAGCTCAGCCGGACCTCAGTCACCGCGTGCCCTCTGAGCCCCCGGTGCGCTATCGGGGCGGTCCGAGCGGCGCGCGGTCACCTGACGGCTGATACGGTGCGGCGACCAGTGGGTGTCAGTGCGCCCGCCGCCGCCGCCCCGCCATGTTGCTCCGTCCGCTGCTGCTCCTCTGCGCCGCCCTGGCGGTGGCCGGCGCCGCCAACCCGCGGCAGCTGGACGCCGTCAGACACTTCCTGGAGGAACGCCACCTGCCGGCCGGCTCCGCACCGTCGCCCCGAGTTGTGCGCGTCTTCACCGAGCCGAAACAGCCGGAGCAGCCGGCCCCGCAGGCGCCGACACCGACGCCGTCGCCGTGGTTCGACTGCCCGACCACCTTTGGCCTGTACCCGGACCCGTACGACTGTAACAAGTACTTCCAGTGCAGCTACGGAGTGGCCTTCGAGGAACAGTGCCAGCCGGGACTCGAGTTCAACCCGAGGTCCAACTCGTGCGACTTCCCGAGTAACATCAACCCGCCGTGCCAGGCGATCCCGTACCCGACGGACGAGGCTCCGGCGGCGCGGCCGGAGGAGGCCGCCCACTCCGCCGCCCAGCGGCCCAGCGTGCACGTGCAGGCCGCGCCGGAGGTGCACATCAACGTGCCGAAGGTGCCGCAGGTCCACGTCCAGAAGCCGGCCCTGCAGCAGCCGCACGTCCAGGCGCAGCAGCCGCACGTTGAGCTGCCACAAGTCCATGTCGAAAAGCAGGAGGTTCCACAGGTGCACGTCCAGAAGTCGGCGCTGCCGCGTCTGCTTCACTAGGCTGCGGCTGTAGCTTCGTCGGACACTGTTCGACTAGATCGGGCAACTCCAGGCCTGGGAGGAGCAAGGCCGCTGACACGGTACTGCCTTGCAAGATGTGTGAGTGGTAATGGAAAATAAAGTAATGCAGTGCCTCTGAACTGAGCCTCACGTTTCCCAGCTGCTGGTCAACTAACCGTTGAGCGTTGCGGCACCCTAAACCCAGTAATTTTTTCACACTGAAACTGTTCCTAGTTGCATCCGCCTGAAATTTCGGTTCCTTGAAAGGGCCATCGCTGCTGATGTCTGTCCAATAGTTTTGAAAATGGAGCCTGCGGCATCTAGTGACGTTTGGTCATTTCATCAATCAAGGGCTCCTGGATGATAAGCGCTCTTTTCCAATTATCAAAACGTTTTGTCCAACAAACCGAAGTCGAAGTCGTACATGTTCTTCCCATAATCATAGGAATGTAAACTGGACTTTTGACATAAACTCCAATGGTCATGACACAAAGGAAAACCAAATGTGTCTCTCATGCTGGTGTATTAACCCATAATTTATCAGACTCACACTGTGACATCACAACAGCCTGACAGATGGGCGCACGCCCCGACAGCCCGCGACAGCATACCCAGGGCCGCGGGCGAATAGAGAATATCTGGGGTGCAATTACTCCCACCCGGGGTGTTTGGACAGCGACAAGGGTGCAGCACTTACGGCGAGGCCGGGGTGCAACGACAGCGGGCCCGGGTGCAGTTACAATGACAGACGGTACCGCGACAGCAGCCAGGCGAGCCGCGACTCTCACAAACAGTACAAACGGTGCCGAGAAGAGACTCTGAAAGCCCGCTGAAAAGCGGGCTTTTGAAAAAAAGAAAAGCGCTGAAAAGCGCTGAAAACACCCTCTGAAAGGGTGTTCGCAACACGAGGAAACGTCAGCTAAACTGTACCCGTGGTTATCCTCGCCTCACTGGGCCGGCAATAGGCTGAGACGAGTGAACACAGCACATACACTGTACAGTGTAGATACACGATCTCCAGTCTCCATAGTGACGCACAATGACATATTCGAGGGGAACGCCGTCACGCAGGGCGTGTTGCAGCCCTTGGACGGAATACAATTCAGGTCTGGACGGATATTGGACATATATCACAGCGAAAAAGACATGACTAGTCATGATGAAATCCATAATTACGGCAGTGTGATAAAACAGGCTTGTTACATAAGCTGGCGCCTGACGCCATCTATCCCAGACAACCAAGCACGAAACAAAGAATGCTTCGAAAGGTAAGCCAACAGAAAAAAACACTATCGTATGACGCTGTTATGTGACATATCGGACCCTTGTGAGTCGTGACGTCACCGCGAGACCGAAGTGAAGTGGCTCTGTCTGAGGCACACTGTAAGCTGCGAGTGTCTCGCATGAGAGTCAAGGCCAGGCTTCTATCGCCACCCGGCAGGATTACCAAGAAGGAGCTGCCAGAAATGTCAAATATCATGCCTTCCATGCATCTTACCAATGTTGACGTCACACCAAAACGCACCGCCCTGACTAGAAAATGAGATCATACGAGAAACAGATCGCCTGATATCGCCATCGTCTGGGCTGAGTGATCAATCAAGAATTAGCAGCACGAAAACACCCCATTCCGATGCATAGGCACGCCACCTGACACCCCTCCGATCGCCAGACACGGTCAACTCACGCAGCCGACCGCTCACTTTGCTTTGACGTCCTTCAGCTGCTGCGTGAGCCACGCGATGCCGTCGCTGAGACCCTCGCCAGTGATGGCGTTGCTGGCGCAGATGTGGAACTGCTTGTTTTCCATCTTCTCCAAGCCGAGCATCATGGTCACCTTGACGGAGCTCATGGCCTCCTTGAGGTCCATCTTGTTGGCGAAGAAGAGTAGGGGGATGCGCCGCGGTCGGATGTCCGGATGCTGCAGCAGGGCGTCCAGCTCGTCCTTGGCCACCACCATGCGCAGCTTGTCGCTGCTGTCCACCACGTAGATAATGGCGTCACAGTCGCGGTAATAGTGCTCCCAGAGGTTGCGGTAGCGGCCCTGGCCGGACATGTCGAACGCCGTGAACGCCAAACTCTGAGCTGCCGGCACAAAGGACCAGACAGGGCGGACAGACAGACGGTCAGACAAGGGAGTGTCAAGCATAGAGTGGTAGGCAGGGAACGATCAGTCAGGAGACGGTCAGCCAGGTAAAAGTATTTGTCTGGCAGAGATCAAGCGGTCGGACGTGGGGAGATGTGGTAGAAGACGTTTGACAACAGATGAGCAGAGAGGAGCATTTTTGGTAGATTTATTTATCATTGGACTAGGCAGACGGTCACCTAATGGTACTAAGACGATCCCATTGAGCGACCAAGAGCGTGTCAACAGGAGCGGATAGAGGGGGGTCGGACTGCGAGTGGGGATAGGAAACAGCGAGACTTTTAACGCAAATGCACAAATGCTCTATTTACACAATGAAACAATGCCATCAAATAAACGCGATATCCAAAAATTTTCACGTCAAAATTTGCCATTATTACGTGACGCAGTCATACTAAGCCTAGGATACTCTGCCACCACCAACGCCCACCATTCAGCGGTCTGAGCCAGAAGCGCACCTTTGAACCGCTCCACGTTGAAGCCGACGGTGGGCACGATGTCGGCAGCACGCTCCAGGTCCGGCTTCAGGTGGTTCAGGATCGTCGACTTGCCGCTGTTATCCAGTCCCACCACAATGACATTGACCTCTCGCTTTCGCAGGCCGAGCGCCGTGGCCAGCGTATTAAACAGCCCCATGATGCCACTGGGGGCTGATGTTGGAGCAGTCCAGGAGCTGCACCAGCGGCCACTAGGGGCTGGTGTTACTGCAGTTAAGAGCAGCACCAGCAGTGACCAGTGTGTCTTCAATCGATAGTGATCAAGCAGAGGGGTCTGAAATAGACAAAGAAAAGGATTACTTAAAACAATAATGCATCTACCTATATGTGATGTGGACAATTGACAAACTGAGAAGAAAAAAGTTCAACAGAGAGAGCTGTGACATACTGCATATATAATGCTGTCCTGTATTTGTTCAAGAGCCTTGGTATGTAAAAAGGGGCTGATCCCAGGTAGGGACAAATGACTTCTGTGGAGCTGAACATTTATTTGGTGATGCAGTACCTGGTCTTCTAAGACATTGCATTCAGTGACATCTTAGTGGTAATGGGAAAATATCTGTGGGTCCCTTCAGCCAAAGGGCACCACAAATCAGAACCTAGGCAGTGAGCAGGACCCTGACCAAGGTAGGCATGGGCTGAAAAAAAAAATCCATTACACAGCAGGGACCTGGGACATAAGACACGTGCAAGATCTGGTATGGACTATTCCTGACAGCTTGAGAGCAGCCCTTGCACCTGCCTTGGACTCCACAGAAGCTGGACCTTGGCAGCATTTGAGGCACAGACTGTAAAGCATGGCAATTTTGACTAAATCCCCTTGGTGTTTTGGCACTCAGGCAGAATGCCATGCAGAATCAGTGAAAAGTGATGTGGGCCCCTACTCAACATTGTGCTGAGCCTTTGTGCTGGCATAACAATGTCCTAGGAAATGATGCATGACACTAAACAGGCTGGTCAGCAAGCAATGTCTTTTAATTGCAGGTTATATAATCAGAAAAAGATTTATCAGTTATATGGTGAAATTCAAGGGACTATTTTCAGTGCAGAATGCCCGCAACAGGGTGGTACAGATTTTCAGCATGATTGATGTAGGCTGGCTGATGCCTGGTGCAGACTTGTCTGCATTAGTAGAGCAGATGTCACACGAAGGTTTTCAAACTGAGGAGAGGTGCTGTAGGTTGAGGCTTGTAGGTTGTAGGGTAGGTTTGTAGGTTGTAGGTTTTTAGGTTGTAGGTTGTAGGTTGTAGGTTAGGTTAGGTTTGTTTAGGTTTTGTTAGAAAGAAGCACCTCCGGGTATAGCGCCTCTCCTTGGTTGGAAAACCTTCATGTGACGTCTGCTCTACTAACTAATACCGACTTGTCACTATGGTCTTCAGCGTCAAACAATATTTTATTTAGAATACAATTCTTTTTATACGAAAATATAGGTAATAATCTTTTTAAGAAAAGAGTTTATTTCCTTTGCTTATAATTTTGAACATAAAAAATCATAAATGTAGGCGACACAAAAAAATAATTTCAGGAAAACGAACTATTCCCTTTGAACACAATACTAGCATAAAAAACATACAAATTGCATTACAATCAGCTTTCTGATATAGAGAATGTAAAATCTACATAAAATAGGCAAATATTTCAATCATTAAAATCAATTAAAAGAACATAATTGTAATATAATACTGAAGAAATGATGCTGCCAGCCTAACCTGCTGCGTCGGTTCTGCCGCACCGCATTTGTCTCTCCTTAGAACTTGTTTATCAAACGTTATGCATCCAACCTTTCTATGACGTCACAAGCTTAAGACTTTGGCTAACAGCTCCTTTGAGCTACTCTTGCGTTATTTTCCCTCGGTCAAATGAGAAAAAGTTAATTTCATTCGCGCTCAATTTTATACATGTTTACTCCTATCGGTGGCACTAGCAACTTGCAAGCTAAGGAAAAAGATACACTAAAAATGAAGGTTTATTTCACAGACATACAACAAAATCCAACAAAAGTGATACAAAATCAGTTACGGCAAGCTTTCCTCTCGCCAATAAGTGCAGCGCTTCTCTACGCCAGTTTACCACCATAACAGCCAACATCAGCCATATTTTCCTTGATAAAACCCAAGGCCAGTATATATTTTTACTTCAACATTTTGATCAGCTCGCCGATCATCTTGCCGACGCCGTCGAAGACGCGATGGAACTCCTTGGTGTCGTACATGAAGGCCGGCGTGGTGACCAGTCGGTTCTTCTCGTCCACACACACCTCGTCCACCTGGCACTGCTGGACGTCGGCGCCCCAGCCGGAGGCCGCCTCCTGGGAGCCGGCGTACGGCCACTGCGGCCCACTGGCGCCCAGCGTCACACGGGCGCCCGGCACCAGGCGGGCCGCCAGCACCGGCGCGATGCAGCACAGCGCTACCGGCCGGCCGGCCGCGTGGAACTCCTTCAGCACCCGCTCCGCCTCCGGCTGCACTGACATGGCGGCGCCCTCAGTGCCGAACGTCGAGCTAACGACACATAGCGTCATGAAAGGTCAAAACTGGGCAAACGCTAGCCAGGGGCGTCGCCGACGGGGGGGGGGGTCGGGGGGTCGTGACCCCCCCCCCCCACTCTTGAAAACTGGGGGTGTCGACCCCCCCCCCACACTTTTTGCGATGCTGAGTATGCTTTTTTAGCTTTTATGTCAGTGAAGCAGGCGTCAGCAACACCAACAAATACATCAGATTCAAAATCGCTTCAAGAGCTCCCTAAAGCCAATTAGCCAATTACCTAAAGGTCAATTAGCTGTGGGCGGGGAACACCAGCACAACAATGTTTTTAAGTAGCCCCCATCCTAGTACCTTTTTATCCCTCAAATGATTGGACGCGCCAAAGCTGCCCTGAGCGTTCGTCTGATCGTTAAAAAAAAAAAATGGTCGCAGTCGATTCGTCGGATCAGTACCTAACTACAAAACTACAAACTAGCCTCAGCCCCATGGCTACCGTCACAACTAGCTGTACAGTGCACATGTAGGGGAAAGGGAGTCAGATGGAACCGTCTCGCGCTTTCGCAAAGAAGTCGCGCAAAAAGGAGCCGATTGCAACAAAACTTCCGGTGCGCTCGAGTTAATCACCTACTTAAAATAAATCGATATCCCTGATTCAAATAAAGATGACCTTAGTTCACTTTTTCATAACGTGCTTTTATTGATAGGGTAGTTTTTGGAGCTGATTTTGAACTTAGCGCCCATCTGAACATTTAAGAAGTAGTTGTGTTGCTTATTCATATAACATGCTAGGAAGCAATCGGTGGTGGTCATCCACTATTAGGTACTGGTCGATCTGACCTGACCTGATCTACCCCAAATGCATGGAGTCATCATCTTCGTTCAAAACTAAGATAACATTCGTAATCAGAACCTCGAAAAACCATCACAACTTACATTCGTTAAGTTCTAGCAGGTCCCGAGTTTCTCTACTTATTGGCGATGACCTGAGTCCTGAGATGACCCGAAAACTTGTAAATGGGTATCATCGGCTTTCTCTCGTCACGGGCAGCATGCTCTTTTTTCCGCAAACCTGTAGATCGATCAGGGGTCGAAAGCATGCCTCAGCGTTAGTTTAGTATACGTTATACGTTAGCGACTGGGAAACCACCAATAGAAGGGCTACAGTGAAGCAGAACACTATTCGATAGCTCTTTTAACGCTCTTTCGCTAGCTTCGCGTTAGATTTCATCTCAGGTCTATGTTTGGCCCATAAGAAGGCAAACAGCTAACTGGACAGATTCTGCCGAAACATCTGCTTTGCAATAACTTTCGATTCCGTGAATTTGTATGGTATGTATGTACATATGTTGTCTTGTCACCACCGTCTTGACCTCTTTGAGACGGGTCACATGAGTTAAAATTTGACCATTCAGAATTAACGTTAAAACGACCTCAGGTCAACGTTATGTCCTGATCGAAAAAGGACCTCCTGCTGCATATGAATGGATCCGTGTTGATGAGCTGAACAGTGAACACCTTCCAGGTGCTGTCATCGCTCTACCGCGTCTTCGTCAAAAGTTGTAGAAAAAAAAATGCTGGCGGCCATCGATGGACATTTCCACTAATGACCTTTCGAGTCATCACTCGCCATAAGTTGCACCCTGTCCCTGGCAATGATGAGCTGATTTGTCATGGCTCCAAAGATATTTTGCGTTTCTGACGAACTTTTTCAAAGCAGGAGGCATTCGTGCTTTTTCTAATTTCTCATTATTTTCTAATGATGAGGTCACGTATTTGACCTGCCTTCAGATCATAGATGTAAATCCTCAGTTAGAATCATGAATTGCTGACACGTATAACCCCATACATTAGGTACCTATACAGTGTACCAAATTTCGAAGCTATGGGAGAAAAGCTACAAGAATGGCGAGAGGGGAAAGTTTTTATAGAGGTATACCGTATAACTGAACTTGACATGGCGACCTGACCTAAAGTGACCAGTGATAATTTGTACGCAAGTGATGTAGGTAGGTATACCTACCTAATAGGTTATACCAAATTTGGCGGCGCTGCGCGCCGATTTGTTCACACGCACACACACACATACGCACGCACAAAACTGGGAAGTGTGGCAAAAAAAAAACACCCCTACCCATCGGGTGAAGACTAGAAACCCGACCCCTCCCCCCCCCCCCACTCAAAAATCCGTGGCGACGCCCCTGACGCTAGCTATTTCTCACATACAGATCTACCAACATATGAGCAGAGGTCAACTTCCAAAATAGTTAAAAAGGACCAGGGGCTATATTCACGTCGACCATTTTCGTAATAATTTTCTTACACATGGCCTACTTCTTAAGATTTTTTTTAATCACGTCAACTCTGTCGTTTAAACTGAACAAGTGTCGACGTGAATGCCAAATTATACTTACGAAACAAAATCGACTTACCAAGTCGACGTGAATATGGCCCCTGTTCCGTGAAATAAAATATTGTTGTTTCAGTCGAGTAAAGAAAACCACAATTGTCCCTTATTTTACACCTCACAAAATTTTGAACGTTAAGGATGCATCTTCTACGACCAAGGAAACCCAGTGCTGTATCACCAGCACTGAGCACAGAGTCGTAACGTACAGGTTCTTGGCGGCGCCGAAACCGCCAGGGAAGACCACGGCATCCGCCTGGCTGAGGTCTAGGGTGCTGAGGTCGCGTACATCTCCACGAGCGATCCGCGCCGACTCCTGGAGCACACCGCGCGACTCGCCCTCGACCGGCTGGCCCTGGCGACCGAAGAGGAATGTCAGACGGATCGACCACGGTACAGTTATACAGACCAGACGGATCGAACACGGTACAGTTATACAGACCAGACCACACGGATCGACCACGGCACACTGATATCCATTACAGACCAGAGACGTATCCGACCGAGCACGGTACAGCTGTTTTGACGCACTAACGGAGTCGTTATGAGCTATGTTACATTTTACGAATCGTCTGAATGTGTCGCCATCGCACGATATCCTGCAATCGCATTACGCACGGCGTACCCGGTACCTTAACGTGGTCGACGACGTGCATTTGCTTGACGTCCGGGGCATAGCACTGGACGTCGGCGCCAGCCCTGCTGAGATGCACTAGGCAGGCGGATGCCTCGTGCACCTCAGTGCCGTCATATACGCCACAGCCAGACAGCACCTGGGCAAAAGTAAAGGGGAACAGATGAATCAACACGATAAAGGATTGTTAAGCTTAAACATATTGCTGATTGCATTAAACACAGGAGTGCCTTGTTATATGATAACCTTATTGTAATTGCCAATTGCAATGCTTTGGTTTGTTGAATCTGCAGACCACATCTACAGGCTACAGGTTTCACCTGTTCAGCCAGCCAGCAATTGCATCCTAAAAAAGTTGCCAGCCACTGCTGTAATAAAAGATTGCCAATCATGCATATATTTACAGATGCAGTGACTGAAACCTAACATTATTAATAAGTTCCCTCTTCCCAGAACACCTAGGTACATTATTATACTCTGTTTTAATTGTACTATTTTCCCACTTCTTAAATTAATCCATTTTATTACAAGCTGTTAGTCAAGAAACTGGCATACAGCTGGCCCTTACCACTGCAACCTTTGGGGAAGCCATCGCTGCAGAGCTACTGAGCAGTCGCAGCCCAGCAAGTGGTGACTGGCGTCGAAGGACGAAGGAGGCCAGTTGCAGTGCCATGGGTGATTGATCAGCCTGCAAACACTTATGTGCATAATTAAGATTCACTGACTGGTGACTAGCCATAACCTCCCAATCATCTCAATTCGTGGCCTTATTTTAACTCAATGTGGAAGTTTTACAAAAAGCATAATTGTAATGTGAAAGGATGTTCCGACTTCCGTTGAAGATTTCAAAATAATAGATCGGTGAGAGTCTCAAGCGATTTTAAAAAAGACTGTAACAATTGATCCGAGTGTTGCAACCAAGGCTATATAAACCGTTGCAACGATGTAGCGATTTGTGAATTTTGAACGACTACGATTTTTTGTATTAGCTTTGTAATGTCTTATATCATTAATGGTATTTTCTTTTGATCAATAATCCCTATTGCAGTACCTGCAGGTTCAAATGTCAAAATAAACACAGGAAACAATTGAATTTCAATAAGGTAGTCAAATTCTTGAAAAAAAAAAAATATTTCGGTATTATCGACCGACCTCCTCGGCAAAAAGGACATGCCTAAGAGCTGGACTTTTTGCACGCGTTCCCCGCCAGGGGGCGCCACTGAGGAAGCACCCTCTGACGTCACGATAAAACTGCGCGCACTGTGCGCACGGTTCTGTAAGCAAGTAATATAGTGGTGGTTTCATGGTGGAAATTGGAATAAGTATTTTGACGTTGTAAAATTTTAAGCCGTTTTTGTGAAATTAATTGGTAAATGCATTTCAAAAGTATTTATTTAAAGTGTGAAAGGAGAATAATTTGGAGAATATGGATATTTTTGTTCCAATAGCTTATTATGTGAGACATGATCGGTACTAACGGGTACTTCTAAGAAGTAGTGAAGAAGTACCAAACAGCCTGCTCGGCTACGATCGTCAGCTGTCCTTTGGAGCTGGACTTCAACGCTGTAAAAAAAATATGTGCTGAATTAATTTTTAGTTTCACCAAAATATGAGCAATTTATCATTTCTTTTTCATTTTTGTAATTATTGTTGAGTGAAGAGATATGTTGCTAGTTCTGACAATATAAATTATTAATTAAAAAAACGAAATGCGACGGTAAGTATCTGCTACTAAATTATCACTAAAACCAAATACATGAAGAATCTTGCTACCATTGCTTATAAAACGTGCTTATCAATACACAAATGTTTTATTTCAGACGAGAAGGATTCATTTGCCTGAAGTCTTGCGTCATGTGCTACTGCTTTGATTCCAAAGACGCTCTCCGGGTCGGGGTAATTTAGTTCTTCATCGATCGATAAGATTTTGATTCCATTGATATCCAAATTTCCCACAGCCGGCAATGGGAATCTCCTGTCGGTGTAAACGCCACGATAGTCCCATCCAACTCAAACACTGGGGAATATCCCCGCACTTTTGAGGACGGAAATCTATGGACCTGTTCGAAAAATAGTGGATAAGATACGGCGAGTTTTATGGTTGGGTCTCCCTTCCGAGGCACATATTTACGGGGGATATTGGGTCATATTCCCCCGGTCATATTCCCTGTGAAGGTGCCCAGGTTGCTGCCGCTCGAATTTTGGTCGCCTACTTAACAAAACCTCCGTTGGTGCCATCTCAGTTTCCTCGAGGTCAGGCAACCTTCACACGCCGTTGGCTACCTTGGCTGGCCGGCGACTCGTTCCCCTCGTGGCGACGCTCTTGACATCCAGTCAAAAGTTGGAGTGGCTGGCGCCCCCAGTGGGGGCCGGGGAAGGGGCAGTGGGCCTCCACGTTGCTCTCTTCCCGAGCCTATGGTGACTTGGCTCAACTCTCCTCAATAGAATCTGGATTCTGCACGCTGTATTAACATGGGCGTAGACACCACTACGGACAATACGGACAGTGGGTGTGACAATCAGTAGTGCCATTCATATAGAGGGTGTCATATATGAGCGGAGAGGCAACAGTACAGCTGAGCGGAGAGACAACATTAAAACAACAGTACAGCTGGCGTTGCATGGAGCTGCAGGCAACCGGACAGCGGAGGCTTGCGAAAAATAAACAATTCGTCACTTCAACGTATAAACAATAGTATAAAAAGCAACATAAACACATATTCTCATGGTCGTACCCATGCACTAGCGGCTCACGGCGGGCACAGGCACGCAGTGTGGTAGCGGTACCGGATCACACGTCATGGGCGTTGTCTCAGCATAGGTTGTTATGAGCGGAGAGGCAACAGTACAGCTGAGCGGAGAGACAACATTAAAACAACAGTACAGCTGACGTTGCATGGAGCTGCAGGCAACCGGACAGCGGAGGCTTGCGAAAAATAAACAATTCGTCACTTCAACGTATAAACAATAGTAAAAGCAACATAAACACACATTCTCATGGTCGAACCCATGCACTAGCGGCTCACGGCGGGCACAGGCACGCAGTGCGGTAGCGGTACCGGATCACACGTCATGGGCGTTGTCTCAGCATAGGTTGTTCGCAATCTAGTTGAAGCCTAAGAAGACGGCCAGTGGGGTCTCACTGATGCTGAGGCGACCTCGGAGACGATGCGTCGCCCCTCCTGTCGGCGACCTGCGGTGAGCAGGACTCCAGATAGCTGTCTGGCACGTTGCCGACACTGCCAGACGCTGTCAGCAGGCCTCACTTCTGCAAGTGATGTGCAGATGGACGCCAGGTGACTTCGTCTGCAGGCGATTCCGGAGACCGCGGCCTCACCAGGCAGTACCACCTGCATCGCCATGTCGGTGTTTCTAGAAATGGAAAAATAACAGTATCGGTGAAGGACAAGCAATACAATGTATTCTGTTTTCCTCTCTTGCAGGTATACGTAATCTACAATTATCATTGTTCCTATTTCATTCAACTGAACCTGAAAATTCCATATTGGCACATTGTTTGACTAAATCTGTGTAGTTGGAAACAGGGGCGACGCCACGGTGCGACGACTGGAGGGGACATTGACCATTTTGGAGGGGCTCGGACCATTTCAAGTTGATTCTTTCCATGCAACGCCATAGGCGTAATGTTAAAAATTTTAAAAAGTGGAGGGACGAGATCCCCTCCGTCCCCCCCCCCTGTGGCGACGCCCTTGGTTGGGAAGCAGATTGTTTGAAATACATGTTTGGCTGAACAGTGCAGAAAATATTTCATTGATCACTATAGCTGCAACAAAAAGACTGAGACAGAAAACATTTGCGCTTACCTGGCTCCTTAGACAGTCCCGCGCAACGGAAGTGGTACCATTTATCACAGCCTTCGCATCTGACCATTGGTGCTGCACTGATGCTGCTGCACTCCCCACATTCCCAGTACATTAGGAGCGTGTTGGCTGTGAAAAGATTACATGAGTCATGGCGCATACATGAATAGTAAGATGTTTTATATGTTTAACATCGCATAGCAAAGACAAAACAGCTGGGAGTCAAGTGTAAGCCAAAGTGTAAGCCCTGCCATGTTTTGCAGACTGGATTTTAAGCAAGAAAAGCTTTGCTAAAAATGACGCTTGACGAAGCCTCATCCTACTGGGCTGTCTGACATGTCTCCCTGTAAAAAGCATGTGGCCCTTATATTGTATATATGATGAATATGTTAATAATGCAGAGAAAACACAGTATAAATTATACCCAACGTTTCATCTTAATCGACTTTGTCAAGGGTGTTTGAACAGCTTGAGATGAGTGAAGTGTAAGGGTACCTAGGTACATCTGAAAATAAACTGAATCTGCGTTCAATAAACATTGATTTTGATAATACATTTCACAACTCAACTGCTAATAAGTTAGCACGACAGATAACTAACAATCGCATGAAGAACTTCTTGATTCGCCTTGACATCACATTGTCGTCCGAACGAATGTTGTCTCTGAAGTTACACATTTGTTTTTTCTGCGCAGCATTTGTGTTTGCCATTTACCGCACTAAATGTTCGCCAGCGGTGGTGACTTTTCCTTACCTGCTCACGAAACGTCACACACGACATGACGTCACCCGAAGACGTCATCAAAAAGTCCAGCTCTTAGGCGTGTCCGGCAAAAAACAAAACAGTGAAAACGCCAACTTCAAAGCTTGACTTTTTAAGTGACTCGATTACCAACTTTGACAAACTATGACGTCATGAGCTCCATTTCATGGCACTGGGCACTGGGTATTGAGCTGTATACCGTATAAAAATTATGCATGTTTTGTTAACTGATAAAGTCTGCAGCTTACATAAATAACAGGTCTGCATCAAATAAAATTATGTCCAAGTTTTGCATTGTGGAAAATCTCTCCAAATCCTCGATCTGGATCTATACTCGGGAGTAAGGACGTACAAATCCTCAATGCCTACCTCATAATTTATATCCTTTGTGTCGGGCTGTACCTATCATAATTCATAGGTATGGGTTGACAGTCACCACTCACCACCATCCGACTCGAGTCGCTCCCAAAAGAACATGCTCCTCTGCGTTGGTGTGACCGTTCGCGCGCCTGGGTGCCGGGTGGTCTGTTCCTCGGGATGGGCTCAGACGGTAGCAGCTCAAGCCATTGCCCCCCCCGCCAAAAAAAAACTTATATATAGCATCCTTCCGACAAATACAGAATCCTTCGGTATCCACCCAACAAAACAAAGAAAGATCTCAACCCATATGTCTCCATTATCTCTCCGAGGAAACAGGACGCACAAATCCTTCTCACAACCCCGAGCTTAGCCCTGCATCCCACTGATTCGGCTGGACAATCACCATCATCTGGCTTATGTGGCTCATCAGGAGTAGCCTCGCATACAGTGTGGTGACTGGTCTGATATGCAGCTGGGTGAGCCAGCTAGGGTGAGCCCACCGCACGTGGGGTCACCCTCGTGAAACTACCCTGCGTTCGGAGTCTCTCGGACGACGAGGATTCTACGTCGTCCGCCCAATCCCGTTCCATAACCGCAGCCAAGCCCCCACTGATCTTGAACGGGATTGGCCGGACGACGCAGAATCTTCGTCGTCCGAGAGACTCCGAACGCGGGGCACTTGAGCTTGGTCACTTGAGCTTGGCCATCGTTTGGGTTCTGTAAGGTTCAAGTTTAAGCTATCTTTTGGGCTCTGTAAGTTGCAATTTCAACACTCTGTTTGGACAAGCCTCTGATGATGATGTCCTCAGCAGTTACCAAAGTGTGGAAAATCCTGTTCACTCCAACTTATGTGACAAAATCTACAAGATGCACTTATCTAATGAATCACTGAATATTGTTTTTCCTATTGCATATTTAAGAAAGTAAACCAAATCTATTGCATTGCAGCCTAGGTATATCATGCCATACTACACCTGGACTCAGTTTTCATTATAAATATTCTATGGTACCTCAAGATGGCATGAGCATTGAACATGGTGAAGAGATGATTAACTGGGTAGATATCCTTGGTAAAATAAAGCAGGTGCTCTAATAAAGACATCTATTGATCACAAGCACGATGCAGCAGTACTCTCAGTTGCACATGACAGCCACCAGAGTCATGATTGGTACTTCACTGGTACTTCCCAAACCAAACTTTGTCATACTTTGAGCACCACTTGTGGCACCCCATCATGTTATTTTGAATCAGATACTTGTATGTGTACTGATTGGTGTTGTTTTCATCTGCCCATTGTTCCAGTTCTTTTTTCTTCAGCAGGGTTTCATGACTAACAACTTCTGCCTTGAAGGGGAGCTTGCCTGCTACTTCCTGTAGTGCAGGCTTGACCTCCTCAAACTCACATGCACCAGCCAGCTCCACAATCACTCTACCTGCTTTCACAGGACTCACATAATGATCTATGGAGCCTTTCCCACCTCCCATTCTTTTGCCTTGGCCACGCTTTGTGATGGGCTTCCATACTGCATCCACCCTCCAAATTGCAAACATTCTGCTTGTATCCATCCGTCTTCCAAGGGTCATGCGAATCATCTCCATGTGCCCATGCCTCAGCTTCCCCCCAGTCACAGCAACAATGCCATACTGTTTGTGCAAAAGCTGATTATGGACAGTCTCTGGACCCCTCATGTCAATCAGCCTCTTCTGAGACTTGGGGATCCTCATACCTGGAGGAAATTGAGGAACTTTGGCAAGCATCCATAGCTTTGGCTTCTCTGGGATCTGCATTCCAGTATAGTCTGTAGGGGGCTTGAAATATTTGAACCCTGCAGCAGGAACATTCTGTAATAGCTTGCTGGACAAGAAGCTTTTAACGTTCACCAGACGAGTAAAATTCATGGCTCAACAGATTGAGATCCTCAACGAACTGTTTCTTGATAGCATTGACTGAAGAAGCCCGCAAATGTGATATTTCTGAGCAGGTTAGAACACATTTACTAGAACTAGGTTGCATCAAAATGTGCTAGGCATGAAGCCAGCGCACAGGCACCTTCAAGATTGATAAGGCCTCTCTCAATATCTTGATACTGATACGCAGGAAAAAACAGTATCAAAGCACACAGCCCGGTCTTCTACAGCAGCAATCAGCAGCTGGTATGGATTTATATCACATAAGCTCCAATAATATCTAATAATCGGCTTCCATCCTATCATACACACACTGCGCGCGCGCGGCCCCAGAGCACAACAAATTTGTCTACAATTCTGGCCCACGTAATACAGAAACAGATTTTTGATATACAAGCTGCGACCACTAAAATAAACGTTGTTGTTGGCAATGCTTAAATGTGACGTCCGTTCCGAGATTTATGCCTAAGAACAAACACTCTAATGCCTACCACTCGGAACGTTTATATATTCTTTTGTGGGGCAAAAAACAATCAGTGGATCGGCACATGCTTTAAAAAAAGTTGGAAGTAAAACCACCAGATTCAGACCGTTCTGTCGTTTTCATCCTCAGGAGTCAGAAACCCTTGGGGCTCGTGTAGTAAAAAAATCCTTCTCCACGCAAAAAAAAAACTGATCTGATCCGGGCTGGACGGGCAACTTTATCCCATGCGGAGCGCTCTCATGCTCATAGGTGTACATACGCCCGTAGCCGGGTGCAGAGACTATCAGTGTGATGGGCTCATCAGCCCAGATGACTCTCCAGGCCCCAGGGTGCCCACCCAGACTAATGTCTTCCTGGAATTCCTATTATCTCTCCGGCTCTGAAATGGCCTCATGAGACCAAAAGGGTATAACAAAAAAAAAGCACCAGATGCTGGTTAGTGGTTGGTTGTTTTATTCCTATCGATATGGAAGTCCGACCTATACGCGTTATAGGCCGTGATCCGTAGATATATAAGCGCCGTACCTAGATAGGCGTACCTTTACCTGGGTATGTCCCGTACCTACCTACTGTATTTTTTCTATTCATAGCTTTCGGTAAACCTAACATTTAAGTTCATATAAATGCTGATAAATGGCTACAATTTTGATTGACAATAGGCTCTTAGGGGAAAGTGGGTAAGACGTTCCCCTAGTAGCACATCAATATTGTATCGATGTTGTATCAATATTGACAACAATGTTGTATCGATGTAATCCTTTAGCCATTTTCGACATTGATACGATGTTGAATTTCGACATCGTATCAATATTGACAGGACAACATTGCACAACATTGTTTCGATGTTGATACAACATTGTCTCGATGTTGATTTTTGGTTGATTCAACATTGTCTCGATGCTGATACAACATTGTCTCGATGCTGATTCTTGGTTGATTCAACATTGTCTCGATGTTGATACAACATTGTCTCGATGCTGATTCTTGGTTGATTCAACATTGTCTCGATGTTGATACAACATTGTCTCGATGTTGTTGTGGACAGACCTATGCGTGTACGAAATCCCGTAGGATCCCGTAATTACCTAAAATATTCCAGCGTCACCGTCACAGTCAATGTTCGGGGAAAAATGTATTTCTATGATATATGCACAGCTCTTCATTTTTTTCGAGTCAGTTACACTTCACATATCACGTCACACAACCTCGGCCGCCGGCACAGCTCTTCACTTTTTTCGAGTCAGTTACACTTCACATATCACGTCACCCAACCTCGGCCGCCGCTCAGTCTGCGCCATCTTCACATCTTGAGCGGTTGAGTCGGTTGAGTAAATTCAGTTCAGTCATTTTCAGCTCAGATAATAGATATTTATGTAAGTGCATTTAGCATCACGCATGTACCTACCTATTCGTCCTACTACCATGAATCTATTCTTTTATACTTACCGGGCCCTGTTTCAAGTCATGACGCTACGTGACGCCACCGGCAGCCCTTTTTCTCTTTGCCGCAGGCAAGTGAGTGACGACGGTGATCGCCACCATTTTGAAGAGAACGTTTCAGCGCCACTTTTTTAACTTATCACTGCAATAACTAGTAGGGTGTGTCGACAGAGGGGTTTTTCTCACAGATTCGCGTTAGACAAAGATATAAAGTGGCGGGAGCATGCCAAAACACTAGCCCTGCAGTTGGTTTTGCGTAAAAATGCGATTTGACGAGGCTCGGGCAGGTCGAAGTTACAGCGAAAAAGTCGCAGTCGACGGTGCTGCCACCTACATTGCCAATAACGGGCACTATCATATCGTGATAATTGGGGTAGTTTCAAATGAGAAATGACTTCTATTTTTGTTCAAACTGCTTAAGAAGAAATAAAACAATTCGGAAACATACATTTTTCCCAAATATCGCGTTCCATTTTTTCCTGTTGAGTTGTTAGGAAAGTGGTAAATTTCAAGGTTGACGGCTAAAAAACGAAACAGGAGGAACAGAGCAGGGATCACCAAGACGTGCGCCGCGCCGATGCTGTAGCCTGTAGATAAGGGGTGAGCAACAGAACCAGCATACCTAACGATTTTGATTAGTGATAGATATTTTTCTCTAAATGAAAGACTATTAGTAACTCAGGCAAGCCTTCTAATATAGGTATCGACAGGGTTGCAGTAAAAGGTACAATCGATGGCAGATTACAATTATTCTGAGTTGGGAAACCAGGGCCTATTTTAACATGTTAACTGGGGGGGCAAATGCCCCCGCACTCAACAGAATTGCCCCCCCAGTCGTCGAGATGTGCCCACTATAAAAATGGGCATAAAGGATTACACGGTGACAAACATACAACTGTGACTTGTTTTGCAATGGATGTCAAATGAGTCAGTCTGCAAGTAATGACCAGTGGTGGATCCAATGGTGTGTCATATGGGTTATGACCCCCGCCCCCTTTGGCCCGGGGACACCACAGGCCTGCCTGAGGCACCGCCGGCCTGTCAGGGGCACCACAGACCTGTTGGGAGCACCATCGACCTAGGAAGAGCACCATAGGTCTGCCAGGGGCACCACAGACCTGCCAGAGGCCCCACCGGCCTCGCAGGGGCGCCACCTTGGGCCTGTCAGGGATACCACCACAGGCCCGCCAGGGGCACCACAGGCCTGCCAGAGGCACCACAGGCCTAGCAAGGGCACCACGGACCTGTCAGCGACACCACGGGCCTGTCGGGGGCACCTCAAGCTTGTCAGGGCCAAGGGACACCACAGGCCTGTCAGAGGAACCAGAGGCCTAGCAGGGACACCACATGCCTGGCAGGGGCACCACCGGCCTCGCAGGGACATCTTGGGCCTGTAAGTGGCACCACGTGCCTGTCGGGGACACTCCAGGCTTGTCAGGAGCACCACAGTCCTCTCAGGGCCCAGGGGCACCAGCGGCCTAGCAGAGGCACCACCGGCCTAGCAGGGACACCAACGGCCTCGCAAGGGCATCATGGGCCTGTCAGGGGCACCACGGGCCTGTCGTTGGAACTTCAGGCTTGTCAGGGGCACCCACAGTTCTTTCAGATGCACCGGCGGCCTAGCACCATGGCACCATGTTTGGCCGGGATTGCGATTCGGCGCATGTCGCCTCGCATTAGCCGCTCGTTTGCAGTCTTTTCGTGGTTTCAAACGTTCAAACATGGGATATGATGTTGCTCCCATGCATTAGGGTGGGTGTCAAGGTCACCGGAAGGTCAGGTCAGGTCATTTACCTTTGATGACCTCGGTTCACATTTTCGAGTTCTATAAGATTCTAGGCTAGTTTTTGGAGCTAAATTCGAATTTAGCAACCATTTGACCGTTTGCGAAGTAGTTTTGGTGCCTTCGTAACATGTTACGAGGCTGTCAGAGGCGGTTGCCACCTACTACGAACACCCGGCAAAACCCTTACTGGTTGACCTGACCTGACCTGACCCGACCTGGCCTAAATGCATGAAGACATCATCTATAATCATAACTAACATGATATTCGTGATCATCACCCCGAAAAAACATAGCAGCCACCCTTTACATACGATGCTCTAACAGGTCTCGATTTTCCCGACTTTTGGGTCATTGATCTGACCTGGAAGGTCAAGTGATGACGACCTAGGACCTTAACACTCGCCGGCACAGGCCATTTTGCGTCCTTCGACGGCACAAGGGGGGTTGGTACGACCCCCCTCGCGTTTGGCCCCTGATCGAGCTAGAGCTTCGCGGAAAAAAACGAGCGTGCTGCCCGTCACGAGAGGAAGCCGATGATATCCAATTTTAATGTCCTAGGTCATCGGGTGACCTTCCAGGTCAGGTCAATGACCCGAAAATCGGGAAAATCGGGACCTGTTAGAGCGTCGTAAAGTGTGGCTGCTATGGGGTTTTTCGGGGTGCTGATCCGAATGATATCATGTGAGTTTTGATCACAGATGATGTCTTCATGCATTTAGTCCAGGTCGGGTCAGGTCAGGTCAGGTCAACCAGTAGGGGTCCTGCCGGGTATTCCTAGTAGGTGTCAACCGCCTCTGACAGCTTCGTAACATGTTACAAAGGCACTAAAACTAGGCTTCGTAAATGTTCATCGGGTTGCTAAATTCGAATTCAGCTCCAAAAACTGGCCTAGAAACATGTAAAACTCGAAAAAGTGAACCGAGGTCATCAAAGGTGAAAGGTCACTGACCTGACCTGACCTTCAGGTGACCTTGACATCCACCCTAATGCATGGGAGCAACATCAAATCACATGTTTGAACGTTTGAAAGCACGAAAAGCTTGCAAAAGCGCGGCTAATGCGAGTCGACATACGCCGAATCGTGATTCCGGCCAAACATGGTCTCGGAAAGTAGGTCACAGGTCAAAGGTCATTTGGGTCAGGGTCATGAAATTTTCAGGGTAGGTGTAAAATTGATAAATGCGAGGGTACTGAAAGTTTCGTTGCAATCGGCAGCTTTTTACGCGAGTTATTCGCGAAAAAACCTTAGGGGGGTTGCATCAACCCCCCCCTGTGTCGGCGAGGGTCGGCGAGGGTTAAAATTGGGTATCATCGGCTTCCTTTCATCACGGGCAACACGGTCGTTTTTTCCACGAAGCTCTAGCTCGAGCAGGGTCGAAACGGCAAGGGGGAAGGTCCAACGGACCCCCCCCCCCCCCCCCATATACGTTCGCAGCTGGAAAATACCAATACGGGCGAGGGTTGCTGGATTATTAGAGACAATTTTCCAGGTTGCCCCCCCAGTCAAATTCCCTTAAAATAGGCTCTGTGGGAAACAACACTCTTCAGATACCTACCATCAACAACCTCACTATCTCCTATATGGGAGCTATTTCATCTGATTCCAGCGCCCTGAAAACAAACAG